ATAGGCGAATCCAGTTGCGAAATACCGCGAAAATCCGGATTTCGGCCAGGATTTGCCGTTTTGGAGAGGATCCAAGCATCAAATCGAGTCGGGAAGGTGTTCATTCGATAGAGCGCGTCGAGTTCTATCTTGATATAGCCTTTTCACCATTTGGTATAAGCTACAGGCGAATCCAGTTGTGGAATACTCGAATCCAGGTCCAAGATATCCTACGTTTCATCTTATTGATTTGTCAGTTGTCAATGCATGGTTTTTGTACCCACGCCACTGTTGGCAAATAAAGCTTCAAAAAAATGATATAATGTCTTTATTGACTTTTCGCATAAATATTGCTACTGTTTTACTTAAATCTAGTCCACCAACACCTATCATAAAACGTGGTCGACCATCATTAGAATCAAAATTAAATGAAAATAATTGAACAACAATCTCACGAGCTGCATCAACTTCAGCTCCACCTTCAAGTACACGATTCGACAAATATGATCATTGACCTACAATAACATCAAAAGGACGTTGTCGAAACAATGCATGTAATGGCTATACAAGAATATCTTGTTCCAAATGTAAAATTCGTTTATGCTTGAACGAAAAAAATAACTGTTTTACTAATTATCATAATTAATGTGCCTTTTCTGAAGTGATACTTATTCTACTTTTTTGTTTTATTATTTGTTTGTCTCATCTCTCTATGCATAACTGAACTTTTTAATGATTGTTTTTGTCCCTTTTCGGCCGGCTGTTGCCAAATGGCAATATGGAGCCACAAGGTACTGAATAAGTTTTTTGTTTCGAAAAATTTATTTTTGTTATCCTTTCGATGCAACAACAAAAAGTATATAGAAAAAGATTTTTTTCGCTAGTTTCTTTCTTGGAGCCGGCTGGAAAGGGTTAATGAGGTTTATCAGACAAACGTTTTTTGTGTCAAAGTGTTTTCTCCTCATTTCTCTTTGATACCAAAGCAAATTTCTTCAAATGAAATTTCTTCAAAAGGAATACCAATGATACCAATGTCGCTCGGCACAAAAATTGAAGGTGTCTTCACACGCATTGTCCATAGTTGTTCATTCATAAAATTTTGTCTAAAGCAAAAAATAATAACATATTCTGAAAGTGCTTGACAAGCTCTACATATCTAGCTAAAAATATCATTTTGAAAAAATTTGCAATGGAATAAAGAAAAAGTGATCTTCTTATAGTAGGCGGTATTTGAAGTTAGATATTTTGCACTGTTGCTATGATATCTTATAAACTAAAAGAGATGGAAACCTGATTTTTTCAAAAGTGAATGATTATCTCTAAACCTTTAAAACAAAACAAAATTATCAAAATCGGTCGAGTACAATGGGCGCGCTCTTCACTCACTTACGATTGACATTTATCGAACCTCTAAACTAAATATGAACTATTGTTCTTCTGTAAAACTTATCTTTTCAATTCTTAGAAGGATAGTACTTTCAAAATTGTTATTTTAACATTTCCTAATAGCTTTCGAAAATTAAAAAAAACACA